ACTTGTAGACATCCTGTCAACCCCCTCTGGACTTCCTGTCTTCTTCCTATAGACTTTTACAGACTTTTAATCATCTCCATTATACTTCCTATCTATAAGGAAAGTGGAACAAAACCATAAGTTTTATAATTAATTTTTTCTAATTTTTGTTTACAACTAATGGTAAGCTATTGGAAAAATATTTGGTCCTTTCAAGTATAAAAGTTTATCTTATAAAATGTTCCCTTGATCTATTTCTAGTGACTAATAAATTCATTTTTATAAATTTCAAATTTCTAACTATATTTTTCTTAATTAGCAGAAATTTATTGAATTATCAAGTATTTTCATTCAGTTCTCCACACTCACTTTTTGTTTCCTAATATCCACAAATTTTGGTCATACTTTACCTAAAAACTTTACTTTTTCTATAACTCTCTCACATGTCTTCCCAGACTGACATATTTTCCACTGGGTTTACTATCACCAGCCTTTTCAGATAGTGACACTTTTCTTTTAAAATTCATATTATCTCTTCTGAAAATCTTCATGTTGATTCTTTCTTTGTACTCCCATTTTATTTTTCTAACTCATGAACATTTTTCAGCATCAGTTGAAATTTTGGCAATATTTCAGATAGTTTCCTAGGATTTATTGGGTGCTTTAGAGAAACTCTCAATGACTAAAGTTTCCAGAGAATCCCTGGGGTTTGTGGCTGGAAATAAAACCTTGTATAATTCAAACCAGGGTCCAAAGTAAGTCTCCAACCAAGTGAGGAAATTCTTAAAGAGACCTGAGAAATGTGGCATTTACAAGTATTCCAAAATTGTTAAAAACGTGAATAATTACATATTAGGAGAAGTGATATGTATTCTATGTATTAATGCCATAACAAACAATATGTTTTATGCAAGAAGAACTAAAGTTCATTCAGATTTGTGCCAAGAACTTGATATTATTATGGAGTTGAACGGTACAATATTTAAGTTGAAAACTTACTACAGAAACTTAGCAATATATTTGAACTGCCAGCAGAGAATGAGGACACCTGAAGATAAATCTATGAAGATTATGCAATCTGAAGACAGAAAAAAATAATGTAGTAAAATAAATGGAGCTTCAGAGAAATGTTGGAAATATTAGCACACCAACATATGCATAATGGGAGTGCCAAAGAATAAACACAAAGACGCCCATATCAATATATATCATAGTAAAAAATGCTGAAATACAAAGAGAAAATCTTTAAATAGCAACATAAAAACTACAGTGAGACAAACAGCTGACTTATAATTAGAAACAATGGGATCCAGAAGGCAGTAAGATGACATATCCAAAGTACTGGGGAAAAAACACCCCAAATACAACAACAATTCTGTCAACCAATACTCTCTATCGAGTAAATCAAAACCACAATGAGATACCACTTTATACCCACTAAGACAGCTATGATAAAAAAGATGGACTACAAAAATTGGCCAAAATGGGCAGAAATTAGAATCCTTGTACATTGCTGGGGGAGATGCAAAATGGTACAGCTACTGTGAAGAGCAGTTTGGCACTTCCTCAAAATGTGCAACATAGAATTTCCATATGACCCAGTAATTATATCCTTAGGTATAAACCCAAGAGAAATGAAACATATATCTGCACAAAAACTTGTAAATAAATGTTCATAGCAGCGTTACTCACAACAGCCAAACATATTCCACATTGTTCCTCAAATCACTTATTAGAGGACTATAGCGATATGTTCCCAAACTCCATATCTGATGACCAGAGGAAAAACTATTTATCAGTTTGGAAATTGCTAATTGTAAACCAGTTTTTTAAGTTGAATGATACAACATATTAAACTCTTATTTAAACAATATATATTCACTTAAAGGTAATAAATAGTTCCATACTACAGATGAAATCAGAAGAATGGACTATTGGTTCTTTCCCATCATCAGGGATCTTGTTTTCAAAGCGGTCTCCACTAGGATCTACAAAGGTGTGTTTAGCTCCAGCAAAGCAGATAAAAGAGAATTCTACTGACTCTAGACTCCCATAAGATGGCTGGGTCAACTAGAAACCCTGTTAAAATAAACAAACAAATAAACACTTAACTGAGATCTACCTGGAACTTAATTAGAATCTGAAAGAACCAAGAACAACAACAATAACAAAAAAGACCCATCATCTAACTTAAAACACATGCTAGTTTTCTTTATATGTTAACAGATTTGGAAGATGAGGGCTGGGTAACCATCAATCAGAAAACAGATAACAGACTTGGCAGCCACACGAGGGACATTCCCATTCAACATTTATTTTTTTAAATCTGGCTAGAGAGAGAGGACTTCTTTATCCTCCCTTTTTCTTCCTTAAATATGCCTTTGATTTGTCTTATCATATGGCAAAATCCCCTGAACCTCACACTCGAAAGTCTATTTGAGGTCATGTTTGTAATGGCCATCTACAGACAAAGTGTCAGTGAAGTCGGAATTAATGTATTTGGAAGATTAATGGTGAAATCATACAGATTTCTATTCTAGTGACCAAAATATTAAATTCCAGTGTTTATTATCCAGAAGAGGCTTTTTTCCTATTCTTTTTCAATTCTTTATCTTTCATGTAATTGCAATTTACAACTTTCACTGTTAACTCTCAATGAGTTCAAAGAGAGGCAGAAATCTCAACCTGCTGCCAGCTAAGGCGATTCATGGGATAGACTCCAGGCACAGCTCAGAGGTCCTGGGAGAGGCTGGTCTCACAGAGACCCTAGAGCCAATGAGCCTGCACCCCTGCTGGGTTATTGGGAACGCCTTGCCCAATCTCTGCAAAGGAATCCAATCATACTGAGCTCTAAAGGGCATGGCGCATCTCCCTACCACACAGATGGCTTCCATTTCTGATCTGAACCTTTGTTGAAGAAAGCCAAGGAAGAGTTATCTTCCTTTAGTGCATTATGTGAAGAGGTTAGCCCAGTAATTATGATCTATTTTTCTTGGGAAAGCATGTAAGAAATCAGCCACACTCTCTTCATGCTTAACAAGTTTGCCAAATAACCACCACCCTATCCTTGGCCACTTCCTACTGTATCCATTCTCAAACCAGAAGACTTTTACAAATGAAAGGGGACATGAGACCAACCCATACCAAATTCCCCTAAAAAGTAGAAGTTAATATTTTTTAAAAAATATTAACAGGATTTAGCATCTACAAATACTCAGTATTTAAGAAGTTGGTTATGAATGCTCTTTCAGCACCCACTATTCACATACATACACAAAATTCTTCTGATATATAGAATCTGATTTCCCCTTTTCAAGAAAGGAAAAGAAATTCAAGGCAGACTTAAAGCACTTTCTAGATATGCAATAAATGTTCAAAAACCTGTTTGCCAAACCTTTAATATGGTCAAGACCTAAGGCAAGGGTCCTCAAACTACGGCCCGCGGGCCACATGCAAATACAAATATTGTATTTGTTCCCGTTTTGTTTTTTTACTTCAAAATAAGATATGTGCAGTGTGCATAGGAATTTGTTCATAGTTTTTTTTTTTTAAACTATAGTCCGGCCCTCCAACGGTCTGAGGGACAGTGAACTGGCCCCCTGTTTAAAACGTTTGAGGACCCCTGCCTTAAGGCATTTGGACCACACATTTTCACTCTAAGTTATATCTCTGTGTGTGTCACTGATTAACTTATGCTAAAGAATCTAATAATATTTTCTTTCCTAAAAATATTAAGACATTTTAAGGAAAGTCAAAGACAAACCATTAATATTTCAGCTTAGGTCAGCCTGAAGGTCAGTATCTTCTCAACTTGCCCAGATGACCCTCACTCTAGGAGTCCCAGTAAAGGGGACCACATGAAGCACCTAAATGATGCTTAATGTCTCATTCTGATATTAAGAAAATGGGGGATGCACCAATAGAATCATCAGTCTGATAAGATCAGCAATGCCCTGCCATGAATTCATCAACCCATTTGAAATGAACACCCAAGTTTGCAAGCAAGTTATATATACTAATAAAAGGGTAATATGCTAATTAGACCAGGTCGACCAGCCATCTTCTGGACATCCAACTTTGTTCTGGACAAAGCCATGGTGGTGGGGGCCGAGGCAGAGGCAGTTAGGGGCGATCAGGCCGGCAGGGGAGGGCAGTTGGGGGTGAGATAAGGCCAGCAGAGGAGGGCAGTTGGGGGTGAGATAAGGCCAGCAGGGGAGGGCAGTTGGGGGCGAGATCAGGCTGGCGGGGGGGGCAGTTAGGAGTGATCAGGCAGGCAGAGGCAGTTAGGGGTGATCAGACCGACAGGGGAGAGCAGTTAGGGGTGAGATCAGGCCGGCAGGGGAAGGCAGTTAGGGGCGATCAGGCAGGCAGGCAGAGGCAGTTAGGGGTGATCAGGCAGGCAGGCAGAGGCAGTTAGGGGCGATCAGGCAGGCAGACAGGTGAGTGGTTAGGAGCCAGCAGTCCCAGATTGCGAGAGGGATGTCCGATTGCCAGTTTAGGCCCGAGGCTGGGCTAAGGGAACCCCCCCCCCCACACACACACACATTTCGTGCACTGGACCACTAGCCCTCTTCAGAATGACAGAAGTGCTTTCAAGCAACTGATCAAATAATTGCCATGGCCAATCAGCTGAGTACTGCATTCTATTAAAAATTAGGACACTAATAATGGACCAGCAGTTAGAGTGCAGCCATCTTCTAAAATGTCAATGCCTTTAGAGGTGGCCATAAATTTGTAGGCACAGTTTTCAAGGTGCAGTGCTTTCTCACAATTATTCCAGAACAGCAGAGGCAACAAAAGGCTAGACATGTGTGTGCTATTTTCAAATGGGCCAAAGAAGGCAGCATGACATATTTTAAACTGATTATTTGGCAATTTTCTCCAGCTTTTAAGATCAAAGAAGTCTTCACTGCAATAATAGAAAATCGAGCTCAAATATTTTAAGGGAAATGGGTCATCTTTCCTCTTTCACACATCACTGTTCCCACCATCTCATTGCAGGTAGCAAGAGCTATACTCACCAAACCTTTGCAGGTTGAAAGAGCCACTGAGGAATTTTTGTGGGATCGTAAGGAGCCTTGATAAAAACAGAAATCCTCAGGTGGGAAAGCCTGCACTGACTTAATGCCGCCCTTTCCCAGTGTCTGTACGATGAATCCAGGAGCCACCAGATGGCTGGATGTCTTCAGTTCCATGTGGAAGTCGTGCCTGGAGCCTTTCAGCCGCAGGTGAAGAGAGTCCACTCCAGGCTGGGCCAGTGCCCTTTTCCTCCTCTGAGGGTGTGCGATTTCGTGGGACACGTAGTTGCCACTGTAGTCAACCTCGTAGGGAGACACCAGGTCATATTCTGAAAGTAGAAGAGTAATTTCAGAATTCTCAAAAAGAATACATTTGACCCAGTGATCCCACTTCTAGGAATATACCCCAAGAAGCTAGAAACACCAATCAGAAAGGATATATGCACCCCTATGTTCATAGCAGCACACTTCACCATAGCTAAGATTTGGGAGCAGCCTAAGTGCCCATCAGCAGATAAGTGGATTAAAAAACTGTGGTACCTCTACACAATGGAATACTACGCTGCGGTAAAAAAAGAAGGAATTCTTGCCATTTGCAACAGCATGGATGGAACTGGAGAGCATTATGCTAAGTGAAATAAGCCAGTCAGAGAAAGATAAATACAACATGATCTCACTCATTTGTGGAATATAGAGAACAACATAGACTGATGAACAGGGACAGATCCAGAGACAGAGAAGCAGCGATCAGACTGTCAATCCCCAGAGGGAAAGTAAGGGAGGGTGTGGGTAAGGGGGAGAGATCAACCAAAGAACTTGTATGCATACATATAAGCCAAACTAATGGACACAGACAACAGGGGGATGAGAGCATGAGTGTGGGGGGGGGGGGTTGGGGGTTAATGGGGGGATGAGGACATATTTGTAATACCTTAACCAATAAAGAAATTAAAGATAAAAAAGAAATAGCTAACAACAACAACAAAAAACAGAATACAAAAGTTTTCAAATGTAACCTATTACCAGATGACACGTTCACTCAGTACAAAATGATGGAGGAATTTTCAATATCAACCCATCCACAAGTCCAAACTGTACAATGCACAAAAATCAGAGATGAGGGAATACTTTAAAAGTGGCCTTTCAAAGGGAAGTCACTGCTGTTCCTATAACCAATCCAGCAAATTCTGTAACACTTCAAAGGGAAAACAGATGGTAGGCTGAGTAAAACTAAAAAATTGACTTTGATTATTATATTTAATAATTTTACTATAATTTTTATAGCAGTAAACATTTCTTTAGTCATATATTTCAGTCTTTTACAAACATCTTCATTGTGCTAAGAAATTTTGCCTTAATCATGTTGTCAAGTTTTCAGACAACAGTTAAAAAGACAAATATGATGGGCATTCTTTGCTGCTAATTTTTTGATATTTGGTTACTAAATCATTGAACATCTAGGAGAAAAGGCAGAATACACACTTGCGGTTTTCCCAGATGTGAACATTTTTAAATGTTGATTTGTGTATTGGCTCCCAATGAAAGCCACTGTTGACCCTCCAGTTCGCCTGAGCTCTTAGTGCTTGATCCTATTTCACACTCCAGGGCCTTTCCAAGACATGTGCCACACTCTTCTTCCCAGTGGAATTTACAGTATTTAGCCAATACCAAATTCAAATAAATGATTTTTTTTAAGTCAAGAAAATTCCAAGGAGCTATCAGATTTCTGGGCACCCATATAGGCCTGCAGAGCTTCGATCACAGTCTTACAATTGTACTCCGTGTACACCTGAGTCACTTCCTCTCTGTGAAAAGTACAGGAAACATTGTAGTTTTCTTCTCCAAAAAGTGTCTCCCTTATAGAAAATTGCTTATTTTTATTTTATAGCCAGGATTTGTTCTCTCGATACCATCATTAATGATATCATCTCTGCTCTTCAAAGGTCGGGAAAGGTTGTTGCTATCCCAAGCAGGACAGGTCTTTGTCTAGGAAGGGGTGGCTTCATGCCAGGGGCAGCTCTCCCTGTGAGGCCATCCTCCACACTCAGAGCTGGGCTTTGAGACCACGTGAAGCTGCATTTGTCAAGGCTGGGGTCAAAATTTTCTTAGTTAATGATGTGTTAGCTTGATTTACACCTTTCAGATATTTAAACAATGGTATATGTGCCTCCATCTGCATGCTAGTGATGGGCCTGCACACCTCCCAAGAGGGCCTGCTGCCTACCCCATATTTTTTCCAATGATCAGAAAATAGCAGCTTAGCATGCCAGCAGGCCTGAAACAGATGTTAGGCTGCAGCACTAAAGAGGGATGGGAAGATCTACCCTTGCAATGAGGTGAACAGTCTTCAAAGACCTCTTGCATGCCTAATGAGACCCCAATACTAATATTCTCATGCAGACTCTAATGTCATTTATATATATATATATATATATATATATATATATATATATATTCCTCTTTTATTACCAATATATGTCATTAGGAGGCTGTTCTGTAGATGCTTAAAACTGGGGCTCTATACAGCCTTTACGTGAGCTGAACACAGTTCTTGGAGTCATAAGGTAAAATAAAACATCTCCCTACAGAAGTGGCATTTGGTAACAACTGAACAGTACTCGAGTAATTATTTATTTTCTGGAAAAAGAAGGTTTTATTCACAAACAAAACTGTCCACATGTCCCTGTGCTGTCCCGGCAGATAGCTGTGGTTACATGGAACAGAGTGGGTGGCATCCAGGGACGGTCAGAAAAGGCATGCCTCAGGTTTGGGAGAGGCAGAGGAAGCCAAGGATGGGAAGGCAGAGAAGCCAAGGATGGAGTGCCCATGCTGAAGCCCATGACAGGTGAGGGTTTGAGGCCAGAGGGCCCATCTAAACAAGAGGCAGAATAACTGAGACCTTGGCTGTGGTCTCTGTGACCCCAGGTTTCTGTTTCCTCTGCTCAAGAGCTTTGGTGTATGACCCCTCTAGGCCCATTGCTGGGCCCACAGGCCTGGCCCTGTATAAATGAACAGGCACTTTGAGGGTGACTGATGAGATGGGCTAGATGCAGATTAGACAGGCAGCAGGTTCAGGCAGACAACATGATAACCAACCATGAAATATATGTCAAAGCAGGGCACTGTGGCACATAGGGTAAAATACATTGGAATCATTTCATAATTTTTAGGAGAATGAGAGAATAAAACAAACCCAGTTAAATTGTATGCAGAAAAGGAAAACATGTCAGGATTGTGTGTGTGTGGCATAAGTATATGATCACAGCCTGAGCTATTCTGAAAAGCAGAAGTGAAAAGTGCATGGCCAACCAGCCTTCCCCATTCCTGGATTTCTGGACTAAGGGGACAGGCTGGTGTGACGTGGCCCAGTTATCACCTGTCATTCTGCACTCTGGACCTCTCAGGGAGTACTATCCAGTAACCACTAGCCTGTCTCCATTGCAACAGAGGCCCTGGAGTGAGCACAGAAGCATGTGGACTGCTCCAAACACTGGCTAACCCTCAAATTTATTGCACGTAAAAAGATGATTACCATTTTAAAAAAATCAAATTGTTTCCAGATGATATAAGCCATATTCTCATGACCTTTATTTTGGATGGCAGATATTATCTATTTTTTAAAACGATGACTGATAAGCCCCTTTTGCATAAACACATGTGATGTTGTACTGATAAATGTGTGACAACCAGTTGTCTGGGGGGAAAAACAGGCTGGTTTGCAGAATTTTCCAATTTCTCTGGTGTAAATACTCCCACCATGGCTGATTTTGATTACCAGTGTGTGAAATCACTGAACACGGAGTTTAGAAGAGACGCATAGTAGCAGACAGTTACATGGTATCTCCACCTTACTGATGCTATACAAGCAAATCCTATATAATAAAAGGCTAATATGCAAATCGACCAAACAGCGGAATAACCAGTCACTATGATGTGCACTGACCATGAAGGTCAGACATTCAATGCAGGAGCTGCGCCCTGGTGATCAGTGCACTCCCACAGGGGGAGTGCTGCTCAGCCAGAAGCCGGGCTCAAGGCTGGCGAGTGCAGCTGCGGCAGCGGGAGCCCCTCCCACCTCCGCAGCAGTGCTAAGGATGTCCGACTGATGGCTTAGGCCTGCTCCTTGTGGGAAATGGGCCTAAGCCATCAGTTGGACATCTCCTGAGGGCTCCTGGACTGCGAGATGCTGCAGTCAGGGCTGAGGCACGCCCCCCCCCCCCCCCCCCCGCGCCGAGTGCACGATTTTCATGCACTAGGCCTCTAGTAACCTTATAAAAATAGGTAGACTCATAGATAGAAAGCAGGCTGACAGTTATCTGGGAGTGTAGGGGGCTTGGGGAGGTGGAGGGATTGAACAAAAAAGAAAAATAACAGAGAAAGAAAAAACTCATGGATATGGAGAATACTTTGGTGATTCCTAGGGGGGGTGAGGAGTGGTGATGGGAGGTGGAGGAGGTTATAGGAGGGTAAATGGTGATGGAAGTAGACTTAACTTGAGGTGGTGAACATGCAATACAGTGTACATATGATGTGTTATGGAATTGTGCACCTGAAACCTGTATAATTTTGTTAATCAGTGTCACCCACTAAATTCAATAAAAAGGAAAAAAAAGTAAATCAATGTGAAAAAGGTTATAGCTAAAGAATTCAATGAATGAACAAAATAACTACAGAATCTCACCACACAGTTATTATTATTTGGAGGGCAGTTAATATATAATTGCAGTAAACTGAAAATTCTAAACTAACTTTTCATCTTATGTTTTAAGATTATAATCCCCAAAACTATTGGTTTGTGATTTCAAGAAAAACTTAATGTGATTCCTGACCTTTGAGAATCCTTTAAATAAGATCTTGGTCCTAATCAGGTTTTTTTTTTTTTTTTTTAAGAAGGAAAAATACACATGGCTACTTCAGTCAGTACCCTGGACTACTTGATGTAGAAAGGTTTATGACCACAGCAACCAACCTAGGAAGACCCTGGTTCCGTGGTCGGCAAACCACAGCTCGCAAGCCACATGCGGTTCTTTGGCCCCTTGAGTGTGGCTCTTCCACAAAATAACACGTGCGGGCGTGCACGTACAGTGCGATTGAAACTTCGTGGCCCATGCGCAGAAATCGGTATTTTGTGGAAGAGCCACACTCAAGGGGCCAAAGAGCCGCATGTGGCTCACGAGCCATGGTTTGCCGAGCCGCAGTTTTCCGACCACTGCTCTGGTTTCAGGCGCAGGGCGTGGGGTGTGGACCGTCTGTGCGTGTACTGGGGCTGAGCTGACCAGCTGCAGAGAGCTGATTTTGCACACTGTCTCCTCATTCTGTGTTTAGGGAT